CGCTGACGCCGTTTTTATTCGATCATACGGTACTTATATATCATCTTATAAATTATGCTAATGATATTACAGTTGAAGTTATGTTATAATATATATGCGATGAGTAATAATATTTATATTTTTAGATCCAGAAATGACGTCGTCAACAAAATAGAGAGAGACAAACATTTTTCGTCAACAAAATAGAGGGAAAGATAGTTCGAACGATGATAATATGCCAGTTGATCTACCCATATTAAATACCACCAGTACAAATATTTTAATAAGCTGCCCTTTGCTACAAGTGAATCATTTTCACGAATTTTCCTTGGAGGAAGCTGTACAACTGGAAAGGTGCACTCGGGTACAGGGAGATATAAAATATGGCACGAAAAAAGAAAGAATATCTTTACATCATCAAATGTTGGTCTCTTATGTAAAAGGCAGAAGGCTATAGATGAAGACTTTAAAAAAAACGTGGGAAAAGAATTTGGATCATTTAAAAGCCATTAAACATGGCAGGAAAGAAGAGGAAAATGCAAAACATTTGTATAGAGAGACGACCAACCATAAAGTCTACACATGTGGATTAGTAATATATCCATATGCACCACATTTAGGAACAAGTCCTGATGGTGTAATAGTGATAAGTCCTACAAATGTAGAACTTGTAGAATTTAAATGCCCCAATAATGAGAAGGTTGATAATTTAAATGAGTTATTTAAAATTAAATCATTTTATTTAAAAAAAAATGAAAATGGGGAAATCTCTCTTGATAGAAATCATAATTATTATTACCAAATACAAGGCCAGATGCTGTTAACTGGAGCCCAGTGGTGTGATTTTTGTGTATATTTAAAAAAAGTCATGAGATAGTGATAGTAAATAATAAAAATTTGATGCTGAGTTTTGTCAAGCTATGTACGAAAAATTAACAAATTTGTATAATATATATTTAGACTTTTGATAAAATTGTTTTATTTTATATAGTATATATTATTTACTTTTATTATAGTATACAGTATGTCCTGTGATTGTCTTTACAGGAGGAACATTAATTCTTCATTAATATTCTTTAATTTCTTCATTAATATTCTTGCTCGTTCTATGATAATGCCGTTTATGCTTTTTCAAATACCTTTTTAGAGCAAATTTAAAAAACATGAACATCTGGTTGATTTTTTTTCTTAACAATGCCTTAAAAATCAAAAAGCGTTTCTATGGAATATAATTTCAATTTCATTCTTTGATAGATGGTTATAATTAATTTTGATTAACGACATATTTTTTGATGTTGTAAAAGTATCACATTTTCTGATAACTATTATCACCCTTTCTGTAGCATTGAACTAAATAAATTTTGTGCAATATTTTAAAACAGCAAAAAATATAACGTTAATTAAAAGTCTATCAAAGAACGAAATTATATTAACATAGAAACGCGTTTTGATTTTTAGGACTTTAAAAAATATATGTTTTTTTATTTTCTCTAAAACAGTATGGAAATTTGGAAAAGTATAAACCAGATATAACCATTATAGATCAAGCAAAATAATTTATGAAGAATGCTCTTTTCCGAGCATTTTTCTCAAAATGTCAATAATAAAAGTGTTTCTTTTTGTAAAGACAATCCGGGGACATAGTGTATATTACATCTATTTAAGAAAAAAATACAATACCTATCATAAATGTTCCTATTTTCCTATCAATAGCGCCAAATAATAGTAAATGAGTAATAGTAATAGAATAATTTTATTATTTTTTATAATGACTGGGGAACAAAGACAATACTACTTAATTAAATCTTTAATCTAGAACATAAGTAGATAGATATTTATTTCATGTCAAAAAAATCAAAGATAGATAATATTACATATGCCGGAATAAGGAAAAAATAAAAATAGTACAAATACTTAAAAATTACATTAAAATCTTATAACTATAGAAAACAATACTACTTTTCATTAAAATTCAATAAAAGGTAAGTAGTAAGTAGTTGATATATACAGGAACAGACAATTTCAGTTTCTTAATGGTGGCATAAAGTTTGTTAAAAGAGCACACACAGTATAAATTTGATTAATAGAACCAAACAAGCTTATTGGTATTCTAGAAGCTAAAATTTTTAATGTCTTAATTCTTCTAATGGCTCTTTCCACATGTATTCTCTCATGTGCAATTTTTCTTATATATTCCACCTCATTGTCTTGAAACTGCATACCAGTAACTTTGAGCTCGATACCAATATCCTCTAAAATATTTTTTATTTCAAAACCTTTATCAGCCAAAATAATGTCCCCTGCATTTAATTCGTCTTTTTCAATCTTCATTTTTAATAAATATAAAAAACCACGTTCTTCAATAATCTTTTTATCCGATATAGATCCTAAAAGTAATAAATTAATCAAAAACGTAAACATCAAACCTAATAACATACCAGTAAATAATGTGGATATAAATATTATTGCTCCATTTGGATTAATCATAATTAGTCCTTTCAGTGTTTTGGTTCCTTTATACTGTGAATAACATTGTGATTGGCGAACTAAAGATGAGGGTTGTTGAATAGCAAATTCAATGCAATCAATACTCCCTATTACATACACATATTTTTTTGAAAACTGAGGTGGGGCATGTTGAAGAATAGTATCTCGATGAGGAAAAATGTTCATTTTTGGAAGTTTCACATATAATAAATTGATCCAAGAAATAAAAATTCTTCCTACAGCAGACTTTGAAATGCAGAACATGTCCCCCAATGTCTGGTAGTCAAAACCACGTCGCAATTTCATTAAAGTTAAAAACAGTTCATTTATTGGGGTTAGCTTGTGATATTTTTTCCACTTTCCCTCCAAAATATACTGGAAACATTTCTTTTTATCCCTAGTACTTCCAGGGTCGATTTATAACCAGATTTAAACGGCGCCAAATCTGTCCGCGCATTATGACCGCTGAAAATCCGATTAACGGGAAAGGTCTATTAAGGACGTCTTATTTCGTATTTATTATAATTTTGCTAATATTACAAAAATGTGGCTAATATTACAAAATTATTATTTTGCTCTTCGATTTGAAAGAGGATATGAAGATGCGATTTTCACTGACTTTTTAAGCTTTTAATACTCTTTACTATCAGCTAAAATTACATATACTATCGCATTTAATATTTTTTTTAAAAACGCGGAATGTTTGTTAAATTGTAAGACAGCGCCCCCTAGCGTCTACATTCAAAAGCTTATTATTATTGTTTTTACACTATAATATAGAGTAAGAACCGCTCTTTTAAACAAGCCCCCGTTTGGGATTGCAATTGGGATTGGATTCCCTTCATCCAGTCAGGATTACGTCACTATTACACCACTATATTTTGGCAGATAGGGGAAAATGGTTCTAACAAAAAATATTTAAAATTTACTGAAGATTATGAATCTATTATTTATAGTACCCGTTATCTAGGCAAAATGGTGTAAATACCGCTTTTTCTTATTTTTTGTTATAGCAGTTGCGCCCTCTAGCGGCTGTTCTTGTAAATAATTTCCAGCAATTTCTCATAGTCTCTTTAGTTACGAATATTTTTTTCCGCAGGTCCTACGGCTAATACATTCCGAGATACAGCCTAAAGCTATTCTTCTTGGGACACCTTCTTGGGACACACACGTGTCTCATTTTCAAATGAGGTTTCTCGTTTATTAGTAGAGATATGATGCGGTTTTCACAACACTACTACTTTTTTATGGAACTAAAGATGCTATACACAGATTTGTTCTATCCCCCTTGGTTTCTGAAATACAGGGCGAATTAGAAAATCGAAACAAATCCTCGTAATTCTGACGTCGAATAAATTATTTGGTCGTTTTGATTACCTAATTTAAGCCAGTCGCCTATGTTTAAAAGTTAAATAATGAATTTTTACTTAGTTTATGAGAATTAAAGTAAAGTAAAGATTTCAGTTAACATCTCCTTTTTGCTGCCAAACCCTATGGGGGTACCCTATTCTTTTGGCAATAGGCATATTGCCATGGCATGCAATAGGCATATTGCCTTATGGCAATAGGTATATTGCCATTAGAAAATATGCGTTAACGCTTTTCAGAAGTACCCTGTATACTCTCTCTGTAAAAGGTGCTTCTTAACCTTCCCAATAACTTTTCTATTTAACATTTTGTTCTAAAAAACGTATTATTGAAAAAACGTCGTCCTTCAAAACAAATGAAGGGATAAAGGGGAAAGCAACCAAAAGGGAAAAGACCCACAATGAACCAAAGATTTGTTAAGGATACAAAAATATATTACTGTATGCATTATTATTTGACCATCGTTTGTTATATTCAATTACAATTTCATATGCGTTTGGCTTCCATTCACTATAATTCAACTCACTTGTCTCGTGGCAGACTTGCGTCAAAAAATTGATAGAAAATGTCTCGCTCTTGTCTCTCGATCGGCTCGTCAGGTCTGGACGCACCATAAAAGCGCGACAGGTGGAGCGAAACAAGTCACGATCGCCGTTTCTATGTAGGTACCAGTTACTTCTGTTCGCAACCAACGAAGTCACACCCTAGGAGCGCGACGCGACGGCTGCGGCTGGAGCGAAACACGTCGATATGCGGTTACTGGGGTTTGCTCCAACTCCAAGAGCGATTATAAATAATTTATTTGCAAATTATAACTAATTTATAATTTCGTAGTTATTATGATCATCGTTCTTCAGTAGGTAAGAGGTTCCTGATTCGTTGTGGAACACGACACGACGTTACAAAAAATACCGCTCCAAAATGGCGTTACTTAAATACACATCACTAATGTATTGTAAACTCATGCACAACTAGTTGCAATATAAAAATGCCATATATCAAAATATCACATCTTGGCTTGATCTACTTATATTTATTTGAAATGGTAATTAGTAATTGGTAATACGATGTTTTCACTTGCTTTCAGTATTAATAGGAGAAATATCTTGCATACTTGTCCGGTAACATAAATCATATTGTCTAAAGTCCGTTCTTTCTTTTTTCAGCACTTCCGGACGAGGATCCTATCATTTCCGGCGTGGAGGAACAATATGAGATCGGGGACGAGATAAACCTGAATTGCACTTCTGGCAGAAGTCGGCCGGCGTCTATTCTACACTGGTACATAAACGAACAACAGGTTGGTCTCAGAGAAATTTATATATATAGATATATGTCTCGAGCGGAGTATTAGGCAGTAACACTGTCTGCTTCGATTTCACGGATGTATTTGTAACTGCAGAGTTAGATTATGATATATATTAAGGACTCTTTTTTCTCCGAAATTTTCGATATCACCCCCTAGTTGATAGTCGATCATCATCAAATATATTGTTTTTTATATTTAAATACAGGGTGGCCCATTAGTGCGACGAAGTCCATGATATAATGCCGTTGTTGTCGAAGATACGAAAAAAGTTTTATATAAATGTTGCATGATTTATAAAGCATTTATAAAAAACATATCCTCAAAACAATATGGTGTCACAAAAAAAAAGTTATGATAAAGTTTTAATTTTTTTTTTAAATTGCACCTTCCATTTTTCTGTAGATAATTAGATTCAGCATAAAATTCTGGATAAACTATTTTTATTTGAAGCACTATACGGTCTTGCCATTCTATTTCTTGTTTACTAAGATTTTGGTTAAAACACTATATCCGAAAAGTGGTTAAAAACTGGAGTGAATTTAAATTTATTAATACTTAGCTATATTTTTCACACACCACCAAGGATAAAAGAATAAAACTGCGAAGAAAAATTTACATTATCTTATATAGGGTAATTTTTATGATGGTATTGCCAACTTCGCAATATTTAAAATGCTATATTTCAATTTTTTAAATACAACACCCTCTATGTTATTTTTCTTTCAGATGCAGAATTAAAAAGTTCTTTGCAGAATTAAAAATTTCTTGTATATACAGTGTCCCTAAATTTTTAACGGCTTCGCAGATAATTGCTGTATTATGTTACACATGGCTCTTCCAACAGTAAATTTTTATCAAAGCCACCAAATATGATCATTTTCTGGTATTATAATACAGCAAATATCTGCAAAACCGCTAAAAATTTAGGAAAACTCTAAATACAAAATATTCTTATTTAAGTCTACATCTAAACTATATATAATATTACAGGCTGTTTTTACTACCATTTAAAGAAATAGAGATATAGCATTTTTTAAATATTCCGATTTTGGTGACTCCATAATAAATACTCTGTATAGGATAATCTAAATTTTTCTTAATGGATTTATTCTGTTATCCTTGTTATCCTAAGTATTAATAAAATTATATCTACTCCAGTTTTTAACCACTTATCGGATATAGTGTTTTAACCAAAGTTTTAGTAAATAAGAAATAAAATTGCAACACCGCATAGTGCTTCAAATAAAAATAGTGTATTATATGCAGAATTATATGCTGAATCCAATTCTGTACAGGGTGGATCAAATTGGACGCTTTTAAACGAGAAACCCTTTTCTATAGGAGATAGACGAAAACTAATATCGGTGTCTGGAGCTCAATTTTTATCAAAAACATGATGGCGCAAAACCGCACACCGATATCTGTTACCGTTTCGGAGTGCCGGGGTGTTTTTCAAAAATGTGCAGTTTTAAAAAATCTATAAATTTTTTGCTATGGAAAATTTTGTATTTCTGTAAAAACATTTTCAGAGCACCTTTTTACGTAGAATTTAATGGCTTAAGTATAATTTTTTTAAAATTAATAATTTCAGAACTATCAACAAAAAATTTGACTTTATTTATGGGACACCCAGTATATTTTTAATTAGTTGAAAATAATTTAAAATTACCTTTCCAAAAATATAGCATACTTCATATTTTGCCCGATTCCTCTTCGAGATATAGAGTTTTTAAAAATTCGCCCACTTTGAATAAGTAGGCTTTGAACGACGCCGGCTGTAATGCAAAAAGAAATCTAGCTGTGAGCAGCAATTAAAACGAAAATAATATTTACAATGAGAGATGCAGAATTTTATAACAATTTAAACTATATTTAATAACATCAATATATTTAAACTATATCTATTAAGAATAAAAATTAACAACATACCAAGACATGAGATTTTGCTACAGGTGTTCGACATGTCGACCGTCTCCTGTTATGGACAGACGGGACCGTTTTTGAACATTTCTCGTGGAATTCATTAACTCAGTGAGGGTGAAAGATGCCCTCGCCTAACTGCTTAGTACTTTTAATACTTGTTTAGATTATACGAGCAATTTTAAAATAACAACCTTTATTCTTCCGTAAAGATATAAAATGAACAAAGGATAACAGGCACTAAGTCCGGCGGCCTCGACGGCCACCGGCTGGGATCTTGGTTAGCTATTCAATTATTCTCGAAATTGGCTGCAAAAATTTGCTGATAACTTCAGCGTTCTGAGACGGTCCCTCGTCTTGCTGGAAAAAATGTTTTCGAGTTCCGTTAGGGGCAGATCATCAATAAGGGGTTCAAAGAATACTAGTTAAAAGTGGCGAACTTATCAAAATTCATTATTTTAACAAAATATCAAGTGTGCTATATTTTTGGAAAGGTAATTTTAAGTTCTTTTCACTTAATTAAAAATATACGGGTGTTCCCAATAAAAAATCAATTTTTATGTTGATAACTCTTAAATTATTAACTTTAAAAAAATTATACTTAAACCATTGAATTCTACGGAAAAAAGTGCCTTGAAAATGTATTCACAAAAATACAAAATTTTCCATAGAAGAAAAGTTACAGCGATTTGTTAAAAATTCATATTTTTGAAAAACACCCCGTAACTCATAAAGGTTAACAAATATCGATGTGCGGCTTTCACCATCATGTTTTTGATAAAAATTGAGCTCCAGACACCGATATTAGTTTTCGTCTATCTCATATAGAAAAGGGTGTTTCCCTTTAAAAGCGTCGAATTTGACCCACCCTGTACAAAAAATGGGGGTTGTTAAAAAATGCTAAAAAAAACATAAAACCTTATCATAACTTTTTTTCTAACATCCCGTATGTCAAAAAATATTTTTACGCGCTATTATAAACCAATTTAATAGCACTATTATAAACCATGCAACATCTGTATAAAACGTTTTTTCATATCTTCGACAACAGCGACGATATTGGACTTGCTCGCATTAATGGGCAACCCTGTATATAAGGGTTTTTATTAGTTTGCGTTAAAGAACATATTGCAAAACGTTAATTGTTTTAATATTAAATTAAAAATTATCATTTACATAAGTGTTTTCAGAAGAAATACTGTCCTATATAGGGTATGTCTTAAATAAGTGTAAATATTTTTAGGGACATTAGGTATATTTCGAAAAACGTCTATAACTTTTCTCGTGAAAAAAAAATGAAAATTTGGAATTGTTTAAAAAAAATGATTTTTTTTAGATTTTAGTAAAAAACATAATTTCTTGATAATATAGCAACATAGATAGTAGATAAAAATTTACAATCATTCAAACGAGGCGCACTAATATACAAGACTCTGATGTTATTCTTACAGACGATACACGTTTAACACCAGAAAACAACGTAAAAATTTTAGGATTATATCTAGACAAATATCTATCATGAACTTTAACATATTGTTCAGAAAATCTCTAGATCGGTCTACAACCTGCGCATATTAAAAAGATATTTAGATTTTAAAAAGTGTATACCACGCCATATTTCAGAGTAAATTCAGGTATGGAATGGTAATATACGGAAGTACGAATGATTTACATAATATATTTTTAGTTCAAAAAAGAGCCCTATGCATTATGCTAAGCATGAAAATTAGGGAGTCGTGTAGAAATAAATTTAAAGAGAATAATATAATAACAGTGACTGCTCTATTTTAATTTAGGAGTGCACTTCATTTTTCTTTAAAAATAAAGACCTATTTAATATTGATAATCAACAGATTTTATACACGGTGTCCCAGAAATAAGTATAAGTATTTTAACAGGTAGTATAGTTCAACCCCAGAAACACGCCTATGAGGTTTTTTTCGCGAAAAAAAAAATTAAAAATTCGAAATTTTGTGAAAATTTTTTTGGAATTTTTATTAGTTTTTAGTTAAAAACATAATTTGTTGATAATATGGCAACATAGGTATTAAATTAAATTTATAAAAAAGAAAATTCAGAAAAGATGCAGTCGTTCTCAACATTTTAGCAAAAAATCATTTTTTTTTTGGATGTTTTTGAAGTAAAATAACTCCCTTATTTTAGACTTATTTGACAAACGATAAAGAGAAAATATGTTTCTTTTATCGAAATCTACCACCCCTTAAAATAATTGCACTTATTTCTGGGACACCCCGTATAACACCAAGGATTGTGCTTATAATTATCCAGTCCACAGGCTTAAATTAACAGAATTAGGACCTATTATTCTTGTTTCAAATTATTTAATAACTTACCTGATTATATGAAACAAATAGATAATATCGTGCCTTTTAAAAATCAGTTGTATAAATTTTTAATAAATTTGGAACCATATAATTTAAAGGATTACCTAACTGTAAATTAATGATAAATTTTAAAGTTATTTTTGTTTCTTTGACTCTGTTTCGTTTTATGTTATTTTTAGCATACTTTTGAAATAAGGATTATTTATTTATTTACAATAAAGAAAACCCAATGAAGATCGAGTAGTTCCGAAAATTTAAGCTCCTTAAATTCTTTAAAATTTATAAAAAATATATTTATTAAAATATTTTTTTTTTAATTTCAAATTAAAATAACTCTGTTATTTTGGACTTAAAAAAACGGTAAAAAGAAAGCCAGCCTTAAAAATATTTTCACGTATTTAAAACTCACCCTGTATATAGTGTGCTGTCATTATAAATAATATTATTTTTTTACAAGGTATTAAAGAGCATACTGCGAAACGTTTTTGTAAGCTTTAGAATTAAATTAAAAATTATTATTTAAGTGTTTTAAGAAGGAATACTGTCCTATATACCGGGTGGTGCATCATTGTTGGAAACAGGAAATCCCATGCAAATTTTGAACTGTTCAAATATTGGCTCCCCTATTCATTTTACAGCGAAGTCGTAAAGATAATTTTTAAAGTATACACACGTAAAGTATATACATATGCCACATTTGAACAATTTTGGACCAGCCGATTTTGAGTAATTTAAGAAAAATTGCATCTATTTTTAAATTAAAACCGAACAGGTACAATCAAACACCACTCAAAAACTGACATACCTTAGGTATACAAACTATGATTTTGTCATTGTCAAAAATAATTTATTACAGTTGAGGGTTGGAACCTTTGGTGTTACACAGCAAAATAAAACACTAAATCACCACAATACACCAAAACACTTTTACTTTTACACTGAAAACAAAAGTAAAACAGTGTAAAAGTAAAAGTGTTTTGGTGTATTGTGGTGATTTAGTGTTTTATTTTGAAAAGTAATTTAATTTTAATATTCTGGGGAAATTAACCGAAACATGTCAGATACACTGGGGGTCTAAGATATTTCCCGCGTAGTAGTACATTTTCTTTATGTGTATAACAATAAATTATTACTAGTACTGAATATTAAAATTTTATTAAAATTAAGTTACGTTCAAAAGTGACTCTGACAACTTAAGGTATGTCGGTTTTTGACTGGTGTTTGATTGTTACCTATTCAGTTTTTATTTAAAAATCGAATCAGTTTTTCTCAAATTACTCAAAATCGGCTAGTCCAAAATTATTCAAATTTAGCATGTGTGTTAACCAGACGTAGACCTAAAAAAATCTATTTACCACTTCACTATAAAATCACTAGGAGAGACAATATCTGGATAGTTCAAAATTTGCATGGGATTTCCTATGTTTCCAAAAACGATGCACCACCCGGTATGCTCCCCTAGTCGTATGTCTAACGTACCATTCCAAAAAATTCACAGTCCTTTACAAAGATGCAACCGGGGGGGCATTGAAAATGATGAATAAAAACGTAAAAATATGATTAGTGTTAATATGAGTATATTACATACATACCATGCCATACATATGTTTAAATATCGTACATTACATATGTTTAAATAACGAACTTAACAAAAAACAACAGATTTAAAGATTCACTGAAAAAGTAGTAATGTTAAAATTAAATAAAACATTATCAATAATAATTATGCGATCGCACCTATCCCTAAAACAAGCAATCAAAAAAAAAGAATTCTTACGGAAAGTTACACTTTACGATATAATTTTTTAACTGTTAAAGGCAAACCCCATTTAAACACAAAACTTTTTAATACCTACTACTGTATCTAAAAGACTTTTTTTTTAAATTACTAAATTCTTAGCCACGCTTCTGTTTTTCTTGGCTGTTGTGCGTCACGTCACAGATTAACAGGCCCACGTTTGCACAAGGCGATGCTGCAAACCACTAGGTAGACCGGTCGTAGAAATTTATGTTATACAACTTGTAGTCAATCTACACAAATATTATCAAAAGCTTTTTTTCTTTTAAAATGTGCTCAGATTTTGTAAAAAGTATAAGTCAAAATCGCAAAACTTAAATTTGATATGAGTTTCTTAGTTTTTAACTAATATAGTGGCGAATTACAAAAATTCCTTTTCAATGAAAATTAATGAGTTAAATAAAATAATTTAATAAATTACTAGCTTTTTCTCGCGACTACTTTCGCGTTACACCTCGAATCGTTCATGCATTGATTTAAATGATTTTTTACTAATTTATAGAGAGCTAGTGAGCATAGATGTTTTTTATTTTTCATCTTCTTTTTATTTATTAAGAGCACTAATACTCTCTTTATAGGTTATTTTTTATTCTTTGAAGGATAATTGAGGAAGATATATTTCGTTATGATGTCAGTAAATAAACCCTTGTATAAAATTTTATACTGTCTGGTTTATATATTGCATTTTCGTCCACCAAACTTTCGTTCCCTATTGTACTCCCTAAGGGTATAAATTTCATAAATTCGCTTTACCTTTGTGCCCATTTTTATGTGTATAATCCAGAGGTCACCAAGTTTTATATAAATTTTTACTAACTTTACCCATTTGGTTGATGAATTTCAAAAATTTCTTCTAATTCTTTTTGTAGGATTTCATTCTTCTAGCCCAAATAGTAAGGAATTTTCATACAACAAACTGTTCCGAGATAATTTTACTCTCAAGAGGATGAATTTTAAATATTATAACAAATAATGTATATCATAAATACGCCAATTAATTGAAAACTATAAAGGTTCTGATAATATTAATATAAAATATATTTCAAAAGCTGAACATGCTATGATTGATTCTTTGAAACCATAATGACTTTTCGTTTTCAGTATGCTACAATAAAATTTTATGTTAAAAAGATAATTAGAATAATACCGTTGAGGGTTGGAACCTTTGGTGTTACACAGCAAAATAAAACACTAAATCACCACAATACACCAAAACACTTTTACTTTTACACAAAAAAAGTTGTGTAAAAGTAAAAGTGTTTTGGTGTATTGTGGTGATTTAGTGTTTTATTTTGATAATTAGAATGTAATAAAAAGTTATTAATTATTAAACTATAATTTTTAGTTATTATGACCATTCAATACATGCTTTTGAAAAAAAGGGTCCAATACTATCTTAAATTTGCTGCTCTTTTCAGATCCAAAAGGACGAAGCACTCATCAAATACCCCATAGAACATCACGCAAAAGGTCTAGTCACGACGACATTGGGCTTGAGATTCATTCTGAGCAACAGACATTTTCTCGGTGGGTCAATGAGGGTGAAATGTGTCGCATCGATAGCACCACTACTTTTTAGTGAAGATAGAGAAGCGGTGGTCCAGAGCCTGCCCGTTATGCGGGACATGCGGGAGGCCCTTTTACTGGGTGAGTGGTCCCCTACTTCTTCACACGTGACACATATTCAGGGTACGCATACTATTACTTTAAAAAAATCAGTTTCTTTGGGGAAATACAGTTTTCAGTGCTTTCATTGTTTTGATTAATAGGAATTATTATAGTTTAAAGCCATGAAAACGATAATTAAAGTAAGTGATTATCATAGATGGACAAATTATGAAAATTTAAATAAACAGTAATATTGATCTATGCGATAGATTACTTAATGCTCAGCTCAATATCTGTGCATCTTCTTCGCGCATTCTATTTCTACTGAGATCTTTAGAAGAAAAAAACGGAAATTTCTCTGTATGTATTTTAAAGATTAGACATAGGGATCTCTCTCTTATAGTCTGGTCACCTTGTACTCAAAAAAGCCTTTCGGAGGAAAGTTTTAGGGTAGCTCTGATTTGTTCTGTTTATTTTATGTTTTGGGGTGCTAAATTGGAATCTGATGTTTGCTAACAAAAATTCCTGACAGAACATGGAGAAAAATGCATAAAAGTGGAAAAAAATTGGATTTATTGCGGTTTTTTGTTTATAACTTGGAAAATATAAATTTTTTCGTTAAATAATCTTTCTATTCAAAATTAAAGTAAATATAATTTCCTACAGTTTTTGTTAATTAAGTTTTTTTTTAATTAATTTTAATTGGTTGCCTCCGCAAATACCTACTTTTTGTACTCCATTACTCTTAATTTATTAATGTGTTTTAAGTTAAATGTTATATAAAGACACGGTGTTCCTGAAGGGTTGGCAGGTTTCTATTTAGTGGCAGAAAAAAGTATTGACATATCTTGAGTAAGGACACCTTCCTAAAAATATACCTTTAAATCGAACCTGCTTCTTACCTTGTTTTTTAAGCGTTCTTGTATTTTTTTAGGAAAATTGTATAAAAAATCAATTTTATGATGGTTTATTTTATTGATAAGCTTCAAGGACATCTTTTTTTATTATAAATAAAATATCTGACGAAAATAAAATATCTCAACCTATGGCGTTAAATTTGAAAAAATCTTCAACGATAATCCCAAATTCCCCAAAAACTGCTTCAGTACAATCAATAAACACTTGTTGACTGAAGAGGACTATTTAAAGGTGCTAGAGAAATGTATCATTCCCGAGCTTCATCTGCTTCAAGGTTATGTAAGTTTGTACTCTCTATTTTTTAGATATCTTATGCAAGTAGTGTTGGATAAGATATTTTATATAATCTATCACTACTGTTGACAAATTTATATTGCTAGGGATTTAATTACATAATTATTAAAATAAATTTTAATAATTTTGTAACTTGTCATTGTGACATTTATTACTTTACATATGCAATATTATGAAACTTGCTTAATTGAATCAACACTACATTTTTATGTTAATTTTCTTCTAGAAAAGTTCTTATTTGTTGCAGAATTTTTGGGGGAGCTATATTTTATTATAATAAAATTAAAAAAATCGATTAAGGCATATTAATAAGAACAAAACGATTCGCTTTCAAAAAATTTAAAATTGTAAAACGGTAAGGTACTAATTAAAATTAAATTAAGCTTGCTTTCACAGTAAATTAGCAAAGCTATTTTATAATATCTTAAGTTTCAAAAAGTTAAAATGAAAGAAGTGAACCGCTTAACCAAAACATAATTTAATGTAGTTGATAACTCTAATTTCAACATTAAATATTTCAAATAACTTCAGTCGTGTTTAACTGACCCTGCAGTGAAATGGAATTCCGACTCTAGAGAGATTAATAAGTGCATTTAAAGAAATATCTTGTTAATGACGCAAAGTTAGATGGATAAAAACTAATGCGTTTAAATTTCTTTACAGAGCTTGTAGTTATTTTACGAAGTTGTGACATGTTTTATTTTTTTTTGTTTCAGTGAAGAGCGCCTCGAGTCAAATGGGCGAATCCAGACTCAGTTGCTTGTCTATAAGTTTAGTGTTTTATTTAATATTACAATTTTATTTTTAATAAATAAAACATACCAAAAAATATAAAAACGTTGTATAAGTGTAACTCTTTTGTGATCAATTACCCCTAGGAATAAGACTTTAATATTATCATTGAGATTATTGGTATAAATTAAGAAATATTAATTCTGTTGGTTGTGTTTGTAAAATTAATTTACTAAATTGATTCTTTATATTTTCTATACCTGGTGCGTCTCAAAAATGGTTCACCCCTATAAATTTTTTATTTTTGCAGATAGAAAAACGAGATTCGGTATGTTAGTATACGACATAAATTAGGATTGATTAGACGTATTAAATTGTTTTTGGCCACTTCCTGTTTCACCGGAAATGACTACAAATTTTGATTTTTAAACGGCAACCTCGGTATATTTTTACTTTATTCGATAGAAAATGACACTCTCAATAGAATGAAAAAATCGTATTTTAAATTTCAATCAGAGTCATGACTGTGTTAAAAATAATAATTTTCAATCAAGGAGCCTTGAAAAAACAGATTTGATCATCTAATATATTTCGTGTCTTGTCCTGGTTAGTCAAAATATGCCCGAATAGTTTTTTTAATCATATCTATTTTTTTTAAATGGAACAACGATGGCTTATTAGCATATTTGAAAAAAACATTTTTTACGAATAAAAAGTTGCCGTCATAAATCGCATATCACAATTTCAAATAAACCATATGCGAAAATATCAAAAGTTGACCTATGATATGCCATTCTATTCAGAGTGTCATTTTCTATACAATAAAGTAAAAAAATACCGAGGGTGTCATTTAAAAATTAAAAATTATAGTTATTTCCGGTGAAAATGAAAATAGTTATAGAAATAATAAATTAAGTTATAGAGGTGAGCACTTTTGAGATGCACCCGGTATAGTGGCTATTTAAATGAACACATCAATATCATTTAACCCTAGATCACTCATGATCTACACGAGTAAAATAATTATTAATTTTAATTGTAAAAATGTTTTAATGATATTCGAAAGTTTTTTATTGAAACCTAAATTAAAATAATACTTTTTAGGCAGCAATAAAAAGTTAAAAAAAGTTAAATGTTGTCAATGTCGAATATTTATATTCTAATTACCATTCTGAATGAAAAAAAATCTAATTATTTACACTTTAATGATATTGATGTTGTTAATACAAAAAACCACAAAATTTAATACTATTATATTAAATATATGAAGAGCACACCGGATCGGTTTTTGAAAAACGATGAAAATCCATTTTTTGCTAACTTGGTTTTAATGCATAATAACTCATCGGCAAAAGTCTTGCACCCCCTTACTATTTTAATAAAAAATTACATTTCAAACTAATTTTTCGTGGAAATCAATAGATGCTAAAGTTATGTTAAAAAATAACACAAAAAAGGGAAAACTTTCACCAAGTTTAATAATATATTTTGCCAAAATACAAAAAAAGCAAATTCCATGAAAAAAAATGTTTGACAAAAAAGAGAAAATAAATAAATAAATAATAAATTCTGACAAAATTCAGGTTACAATATAAAGTATTGCCTCCTCGATTTGTTATGAGTGCATCAAGTCGTCGGGGCATCCCCACTATAAGGTTGTTCATGGTTTCTTCAGGTAAGTTCTGCCATTCTTCTTGAGCGGCAATGATCAACTCCTGGCGACTTATTGGTGGGTTATTTCTGCGAAATACAGCTCTGGTGATGTAGTCCCAGACATGTTCAATAGAATTCATGTCGGTGGAGAGTGGAGGCCAGTCCAGATAAGTTATTTCCCCTTCATTTAATGCTTCCTGGGCCATCCTAACTCTGTGAGGACGAGCGTTATCATCCATGAGAATAAAATTATTGCCGATTTCTTCTCGCAGTGGATAAATTATTGGTCTGATTACAGTTCCACATACAAATGGGCGTTCATCACCTCAGGAGTATGAATGAGCTCTGTTCGCCTATTGTACATGATGCCACCCCAGAACATCTCAGTTCCTCCTTGATAAGGAGCAATAGCAAGGGCTGTATTGAAGCGATGCCACCTCCCTGCCACCCTCCACACTCTCTGACGATAGTCATCACTGATCAAACCTATCCTGGTTTCGTCAGTGAAAATTACGTTCTTCCACTGAGGTAATAACCAGTTCTGGTGTAGCCTCCTTTGCTTATGATGTAAAGTTAATAGAGGGACTCGCAGTGGACGTGTACGCCGCAATCCAGCATTAGAAAGTCGCCTGGAAATGGTTCGGCTTGATATCACTCGGTGGTAAGTTCGTTCAAACTGAGATCGTAGCTCTCGAATTGGAACTGACCGATATCTTCTGGCAAATTGAGCCAAGTAGCGATACTGTCGTTCAGTCGTTACATTTGGACGACCCAACCTAGGACGAGATCTTACATTTCCGGTGTCCATATACCGTTGTATAATTCGGCTTACAGTACTTCGCACTAAATTTAAACAATCAGCAATTTGCTGCCTGCTGAGACCATTCTTCATGCAAAGCGATAATTCGGGCCCTATCGAAGGCAGAAATTTCGTGCCCTGGCATTTTTGTCGCCGGTCACAACGCTTACTACAAGATTGAACTCGAACTGAGAAACAAAATTTGACCGCAAATAGCAAAACCATACACATTCCATCGATAAGATTTTCTTTCATTGCTTTTATGACCTATTTTTTGTAGACACATATTAAGGTATTTGTACACATAGCCACAACAATATGCTATGCAAAGAAATAAATTTGTCTGGGGGGTGCAAGACTTTTGCCGATGAGTGTATTTTCTGTCCTAAAAAGCTACACCTTTTGGTACCTAAATAAACGGGAATATCGATAGCGGTCACAGAAACATGCATTTAAAAATGGGGAAAACGATAAAAGTCCATGCCTAATTTGAATTAAAAAACGTTTTCGTGAACATTTGCCGTTTTTGGGACATTTCATCGTTTTTCCCGTGTGCTCTTCATATCCTATATGCATTGTTTAAAAGTTTTGTCAAACTTAGTCTGAGAAATTTTATTTTATCTGGCAAAGAAAAATTAATGATTTATTACTGACAATCTAGATAGTCAAGTCGACAGTCTATTTTGTAACTATTGTAGAAATATTAAATTTAAAACTTAAATTTAGATCTCTGATGTAATTATAAATCTTGAAACACAGTTAAAGATATTTTGATAATTAAATTTACTCTAATTAAATGCTATATGTGTATAAATAATTATTAAAAAAATGATTTTCATTTAGCCGATAAATAATATTATGTTGTATACTGTATATGTGCACTGATTAGAAGTATATAATCTTAAACATGATCCCTGTGTTAAATATGTGATAGTATGCATTTCAATATTTGCATCACAAAAATTAATATACCTAATTGTAATGACACTTTTATAGTTAAAGTGTATATATGTATTTATAGTTACAGTTTCTGTTAAATATCTGTAATGTTTTTATTTTTATAAAAGTGTATGTGCAGCTTTTAGTATTCTTATTTTTTAAGTAACTTTTAATAATACTTTAATAATTGCAACTACTTTTATGAGGATTCATTTTGCTTTTTTGTCAATTAAATTTTTATAAGAAGCCAAAAAAAGATAATAAAGTAATTTTTATTTGTCAAAATATCAAAATAGCTATTATAAAATGTCTCATTTTTAAATTGAAACGCACTGACGACCAGGTCGCAGTCGCAGTAAGCATTTGATTCAATGTTATTAATGGCCGCAGCTGCATTTCCTAATAACATTCAATCAAATGCTGGTCGTTGTGACCTGGTCGTTAGTGCGTTTGAGCCCTTAGGCCCGTATTTATAGTCGCGTCTCAATCTGGGTCTCGGAAAAACCGACAAAAATAACAGGCTTACTAGGCGCGTGTATGCGTATTACTGCGGCGACAAAATGTAATTCTGTTATTTTTGTCGGTCTTTTGCATCTCGTGAGTGGAGTCGCGTTTTGAGACTCGGCTATAAATACGGGCCTTAGTCGTGGACGAAAGTGCGTGTTGTATCATTTGATTTAAGGGTTGTTGTTCAAAATTAGTAAGCGCGACTTACTTATAATTTTGAATATTATATTATGATCAGTAACTTTTAAAAATATATATCTTTAGTTTCAAACTGCATTAGAAATATTTACATAAATTATAATTTAGTATTTTGTAAAAGTATTGTTGTAGAATACTATTTTAAAATTTAGTTTTATTTTCCTCAACTGTTGTTTTCTATTGTATCTCAAAATGTAAAAACATTACAGATCTTCTAAAATGTACAGAATGTAGAGCATTTCTATCTAAAAATACCACTCTGCTTTTTTCAATGGAGCAAATACATGTATACATAAACCCAACTTTACAAAAAAAAACACGAAAACGAAGCTATGTAAGTCTAATAGAAACATACATAAATATCAGAACGCTTCCTAAGCTTTAATGGAAATTTGTAAATACCATCCTCTAAAAAATGTCGAAATATTTCTAGGTAATACATATTTAGATATTATTTGAATATTAATAAATATTATTACGTTTGTTAGTTTAAATTTCATTTTAAAATAAAGTGTGATATGTGTAAAGATTATTTGATTTTTTTGTTTTCGATTTTATTAGATTATTGTGTCTCTCATCGATAAAAAGCATGGAGTAGGAAGTATTTGTCGGAAGGTGGTAAGCTAACTTTCATCGTTTTTATTTTCTGGTTTCAACCGACGCAAAAAGGTACATTAAATATCTACTTTTTAACGAAAAGTGAGGGAACTATACGAAACTTGTTAATTGCACTAATCAGGAAATTACAATGGAATGTTTGATGTACTAATTGTCTTAAAATATACATATTTTGAATCTAGTCCATTTATTGAATCTAAGTTTCATAGGTAGACATACCCTATGGACAATATGCCTGGTATATTTAACCCGTAACTGGTGGGGTGACTTTTTTGTAACACAACTGGTGACGTTGGGTTATAAATACTTCTAATTTTTCCAGGTTCCCCTGTTCAACTAAATAGAATTTAAAATAGTTTCTCAATGGAACTCTCTAAACTCATCTTTAATAAAAGGTCTTATAAGTTTTTATAACAAAAAAT